CCCTACACAAAGTACTCTCTACCTCTTTGGGCTCAGGATAGGATTTCTCCTTGGACCGGCCTCTGGCTGTACTTCCCAAGAGAGCAGGGAAACTTCCATTCATTCCCCAGTCCAGCCGACTGTGGAGTGGTTGAATTTCTGCTGCCTCCCAGGATCAAAGACTGCCTCCTACCTGGATGGGCTGCAGTCTATATTGATGCCGCCCTGCCCATTGGGACAGTCCCTGTTTTCTCGTACTTTTTGGGTTTGGGGCAGCTGGGAACTGTAGGCCAGCAGATGAGGAAGCCCCATTCAACCCAGTGAGTGATACCCCTGCAGGCCCCTCTCTGGAACTACAGCTCAATTAAACATTTTAGCAAAGAACTACAGCCTTCTTACAAACACAGGTAACTGCCATTTCGTTACACCTACCAACAGCCACTGAGGGGATAGTTAGTCCCACACAGGAGGCAAGCAGGAGAAGCGTCTTCGTCAAGAAAGAAAGCCGTTTGCCAGTAATTCTGACAGGGCACAGTGGCTGAAGGGGGAGTGGGTGGGGAAGAGGAGCAGACCCAGCACCCAGCCAATGGCACACGAGTACTCTTGAGTGGCGGCTGACAGGCCAATGGCTGAGGGAGTGCATGGGACGTTGCCACTCGAAAATGGAATTATATATAAGGAGAGATTTTTAAATATTGAGGTGGAAGTTAACAACCTGAATAATTTTGTGATTGGCACAAGACCTGGCTAATCAGCACTATGAAAATTTAGCTTCCCCTCTGATAAAAAACCCAGAAGAACTGGTTCCCCCCAAGGTTAATCTTGGGAAGAAATTAGGTAATGTAGCACAGTTGTGGTGAATGAGCTTCCACAGAGGCTCACAGTTTAAGATGTGTATCTTTAACCTGAGACAATCAACCTTATTTCAATAGTACTTAAAATACTGGTAATTGTATTATTATGTTTCAGTTGCTTATTTTAAATTTTACTGAATTTATTATTATATTTTGATTTTTTGAGTGTTAGCTACCTTAGGGACCTTTATTTGAGGTAAAAGGGCAGAATTTAAATAATCATACTATTAATAATAATAATACTTTGAATCATTCATAGTAAAGAAATCAAGAAGTTTATAAAAAGAGGTAATGAGATAATGTAGGATTACAAGAGACAAGAAAGAAGCAAACGTCGTACACAGAAGTAATATAGAAGAAGAAGAGGAGGAGGAGGAGGAAGAGATTGGATTTATACCCTGCCCTTCACTCAGAGTGGCTTACAAAGTCCTCTCCCTTCCCCTCCCCCCAACAGACACCCTGTGAGGTAGGTGGAGCTGAGAGAGCTATTTCAAGAACTGCTCTTGAGAGAGCAGTTCTGACAGAACTATGGCTTGCCCAAAGTAATCCAGCAATAGCAAATGGAGAAGTGGGGAATCAAACCCGGTTCTCCCAGATTAAAGTCCACGCACTTAACCACTATACCAAACTGGCTCTACACCAAACCACTACACTACACCAAAATATACAGAATAAAAGCCTCTTTGGAAGATACTTTACTACTAATACTGAAACTGGGTTGTAGGTAGGGTTTCACATCTGTACACTCCCTCTGCTTTGTCAACTCCTGCTTCTTCCACCACAGTAAAAAAAAACAAAACATATTGGAGTTCTTAGTATGGACATTTTGTACCATAAGGGTACTTCCCAACAGAAATCTGAATTCTGAAATCCTTCCTTTTATTTTTCACACTTTAAGGTCATTCTTTGTACATACAATTGAACCAAAAATTATAATATCTCACCTCGCGTTCTTCCTCTTGTTCTTTCCTAATTTGTTCTAAACGAAACTGCTCTGCTATTTCTCTTTCTTGTGCTTCTCTCTACAGAAAAGAAAACAAATCTTATAAGATTTATCATTCCCATGTTCTGATGGCCCTCATTGTCCTTGCTATTGAGCACTCAGATAAGCACTCCATGTTTTTCCAAACATGTAAGTAACAAGCAACTCTTCTTTGAAACCTATTCACAAACCAGGACAGGATGGGAAAAAGGCAAACTCAGTAATATGATATAATCCTGCCTCTCCCACAAAAAAGAATTTAGCAAATGCCTTCATTTATCAGTAGCAAGCACTAAAGACTCTACAGCTGTTATTGGTTATTTCTTAAGCTTCAGTGTTAGTTATGAATAGATCAGATAATTTGTTCCTGTCTATACTACTGAACTGAGAGAGCTACATTGGATAATATATTTGGATAATATATTTGTAATACAAATTAGAATGTTTTACTTTACTTGAATTTATTGGTTTGGTTACTGGATGACTTTCTTTTTGGAGAGGGGATATACTGTTCAAAAGTCAATCTATTGTTCTATGCTGTGATGCTAACAATCCCCAGAAGAGTGTACAAAATGTCCATGCCGCATTCCTTATTGCTACTGAATTCTTTTATCAAATTAACTACTGGATCACCTGGCAAGTACATGGAAGCTTGATGATTTATAGATGGCCATTAAGCATAATAGTGGGCAGACTTTAGGAATACCAAATTACTGAAAAGATAAAATACAAATTATACAGAAACTATTCAAGTAGTATTCTTGTTAGTTGTAAGACTTGGAGCTCGATCAAGTTTTAATGCAGGCATAAGAAACAGTGTTCACAAGACTATTTACACAGTCCTAGGAATATATTCTTAGAAACAGATCAGTATTCAATGGAATTTACAGGAAAGTGTGCACAGGATTGTATCCTGTATCACCTTTTGAATGCACTTGGTAGATTACTTGTTTAAGTACATATCTATGCCTAAACTTCCTTTGCATAATCAAAAGTAGTATGTCAAAGAGAAGGCTGAGCTAGAAATCTTCCCTTTTTGCTGTACTATAGTTTTATTAACTATTGAATCACTTCAAATTCAGAGCTCTGGGCAAGACACACCATGCTATATTGCCTGGTCTCACAAGCACAATATTTTTAGAGCAAACATGGAGGTTTGAAAAGCAACTGTTATTGTCAAGAAGAAATGAAATTTAGGATTATGTAACAATGTGTCAAAGCACAGCAGTTTATGGAAAATGGCTCAGATCCACTGGAGCTTTTACACGGGCAGAAGAATTTCCACATGTAGAACTCAACTTCCACCAGTGAAGCTAAAATGCCCTCTGAAATGCAGCTCCTGCACAGGGACTGGGATGTCACATTCCAAAGGCAGGAACTCTTCTGCCCATTGAAAAGCTCTGGTGGTTCAAAGCCAATATATGACTAGTATATAAAAAAGCAATCCCTGGAAGAATTCAATTCTTGCTGAAACCTAGGAAAAGACTGTCTCTTGTGTTGGGTCTGTTAGTGACTTTCAGAGCTGAAATAATAACCTCATTTGTAAATCAGTTCTAGAGAATAGTGGCTCCATGCAACCATAGACTCTACTGTATATTACTGCTGATTGCAAGAGGCATGAATAGCATCTTGAATACTACACAGACATAGCACTGTACAGACCTTTGCTCTATCAGCTTCTAGTGAGATTCGATAAGCTTCATCCTGTTCTCTCTTCACATTCTCTCGGGCCTCACGTTCATCCTGGGAGAGAAAAAGAAAGGCAGACCAAACCATGATATTATTTTATACTAGATACTAATTTTCAAGAGAGAGGCCATCTTAGAAGAAAATTCCAGCTCTGCTTGTAGGTGTCAGCCAACCCCCAACGTCCTCTGATGGTTGCTCACCCAGGTCATCTCAAGAGCCTGTTAATTAGTTCAGCTGAAAAATATGGCTCACTCTCACTCTAGAAAGTTCCATGGAGACAGCTCTGTGATTGGTTGGGAAGGTCAAAAGGTTATGCCAGTAATATCTGTATTATATACTACTAGGAAGAAGGTCCGTTACAGCTGTAAATGCAACGAATGCTAGATTGGCCGTGCGGCCGCGGTCCTCGTCTCTCCCACCCGCCGCTGGTGTCCCCCGGCCGCAAGGAACCCGGCTCTGAGAGGGAAGGGGAGGGGGTGTAAGCCGCCTCTCCTCCCACGGGTTTGCTCGGCTTGGCCGCGGGGAGGGCGAGGAACCCAGCTCTGAGAGGGAAGGGGAGGGGATTTAAGCCGCCTCTCCTCCCACTGGCTTACTCAGCTTCCCCATGGCCGCGGGGAGGGTGAGGAAGCCGGCTCTGAGAGGTAAGGGGAGGGGGTGTAAAGCACCTCTCCTCCCACGGGCTAGCTCGGCTTTCCTGCAGGCATCTCCCCCCTCCCCGAGTTCAGTGGGGGGCGCTGCCGGCCCAGCGAGGTTGGGGCCAGCGCATGGCAGCCCAGGGAAGCGCGGCTGTCTCCCCCATCACTGATATCCATGGGGGCACGCCGGGAGGTCAAGGATGGCAGGGGCGCAGGGAACGCCACCGGAAGCTGAAACCCCCCCAAGCAGGGCCCACGGCCCCCCTGTTCCAGGCCACGGTGGGGCAGGGAAGTGCCACGTGGCTCCCTGCAGCCCCCGCCTGCTTGTAGGCTAGCCAGGGACGTGAATGGCAGTTGAGGGGGAAAAGGTGGGTCGGGGCATCTGTGCAGCCAGGCGCAGCGGCGGGTGAGCGGGGGCCTGAGTAGGCTTGCCCGGCTGCCCGGGGGAAAAGGTGACAGAGCGAAGGGCCAGCTGTCCAATTCACCCGGCTTCGTCCATCTCCCCACTGCCTGCTCGCCGCTCGTTCCAGCCGCTCGCGGGCCAAGGCGGCTAGCCTCATTCCTCCCCATGCCAGTAGCCTTGAGCGGCAGCTGGCGGGCCAATGGCTGAGGGAGCGCATTTATTCTGGCCACCCCATAGGACAGTGGCCACCCCAAATCCCTTTTATTATAAGGAGAGAGAGAAGAGAGAGAACATTCCCTCTTCTTATCCCCTTTCCTCCACCCATTACTCTTGTTGCTTGAAGATATTCTGTGTGAGCTCTGGAACATCATGCTGCAGCTGTAACAACCAGCATTATTGCAGTTAGCACAGTCAGGTAGTCTTTGTTATTTTAAGTGCATCATGACTCCACTGAACTATATGTGTGAGTTACTGGGGATTCAGATTACCTGAATCAACCTGGGCCTAAGTTTGGTTACGCACCAAGATAGGATCAGCCTCGACAGTAATAATATTCATATTCATTTCCCATGTGACTGCTTCTTGCACTACAGGCCCAGCAACTAAAAGGACACAGTCGTAAATATGTAACCATTCATTCACAAGTTTACGCAGAATTTATTGTTCCACCCAAGTCTGGAGAATTTTTTCACACACTTTTAGCAAGCATAATAGCAGAAGTACTTTCTAAAGTTTTATCAACAATTAAAGGCAATGTAGCAATCACACAAGCAGCCAATAACACTTTCCTTCCACATTTCTTCTTCAATTGAAATGTGAAGACACAACCCCAGGATCATGGGTTTTTCAAGGCAAGAGATCAGCAGAGATGGTTCACCATTGCCTTCCTCTGCATAGTAGCCCGGAGCCCCAGTCTTCCTTGGTGGTCTCCCACCCAACTACTCACTGTGACCAACCTGGCTTAGCTTTCAAGCTTTGAGATGAGGCTAGTCTGGCTATCAGGCTGCTAAACTGAAGTGTACTCAGCCTTTATAAGGCTCAAGCACACCTGGTCATTTCTGGAGAGAACTTACACACACCACCTGCCCTAATATAGGAAGAACTTATACATATGAATAAATTAATCAAAATTAGACACATAAAGAAAACCTTAAAAGAAATTTGGAAGCACATTCAAAGCTGGAATATACCAGGTATTGTTCATATACATATAATCAAGCAATTGGTATTTAAAAATATTTACATGTATACCCATATTACATATGTTGGATTTTTTTAGCACTGGATATTTTTATGGTAAAATATTTTTAATAGTAAAAATTTTAATGGTAAAATATTAGTTACAATGGTAAAAGTTGCATATTGATAATGATCACATAAGCAGTTGCTTTACCAAGCAGCACAACTCCCAGCTAAAGTCCTGAGCAGAGGTCATTTCGGGGGGGATCGTGGGGGATCGCAGTTCCCCTGGTTGAGGTACGGGGCGGGGCACATGACGAAGCCCCGCCCCCTGCTTCCCGCCGCCCCGCTTCCGGCCCTCATTCAGCCAGGAGGAGGCAGGAGAAGAGGGACGGTAAGTTGCTTCCTCCCTGCCTCTCCCCACCCCTGCCTGCCTGGGGCCAGGGAGGGCCTTCGCGGGGCTTCCTTGCACTCCCGCCGGCCTTGCAGGTCCACCGCCGGGTCCCTCATGGGGCTCGGCAGTGGAGCTGCAAGGCCACCGCCGGTGGCCGGGACCGTTGGGGGCGGGGTGTGTGGCCTTATGACACACTTCCGGTGATGTCAGGGTGTGTGGCATATGCTAATGAGTTATGCTAATGAGTTCCCCTAGCTCTTTTTCTATGAAACGACCCCTGGTCCTGAGCTACTGATATCAAGTATGGGTAGTTGCACAATTTACAGTGCCATCTTAAGCAGAGAAACCCTTTTAAGGCCATTGGCTTCAATGCAACATTGGTGTTTCAATAACACCAGAAGATTACATTTGCCAAAGGACCATTAAAGAACCAGTAATGCTTGAATCAGAAGGTCAATATAAGAATGAATGTGCCTCTCTTACCCTAACATGAATGCATATTTCCCCCCAAAGCAAAGCTCGAGGGCTATCAAGTAGCTGCTTTTGTATCTGAAGCTTACAAACATCTAGAAACATGAGCAAATCCTAGTTAAGAACTGATGTATCTAACCTGAGCTCATGTTGTGGATGACTACTTAAATTTGAATAATCCTTTACACATTTAAGTAAGTACTAACTTTATTTTATTTATTTATTTTACAGTATTTCTTGCTTGCCTTTATGGAATATAAGGTTAGTTACATAGTTCAGAGCTGGTTCCAGGACCCCCTTTCTCACTTTGAATCCCTGTTAGGAAGAAAGACAGGGTACGGAAGAAGTAAACTAACAAATATCTCAAAAGAACTCTGAGAGGCAGGTTAGAAAAGGCTGTAGTGGTCAAAATTACACAGTGAGCCTAGATTAAGGCTGAGTGATGAAATTTTTAAAACCTAGCCTTGAAGATATATGTATAACACTTTCATGGAGTGGTTCTCATTGATTACTTTTAAATTCCAATTCAGTACATATTATGTGCAAAGGATAGTTATTACTCCACAGTGTTTTGTTACGACATGGAAAAGAATGTGATGGCATGGTGTTTTATTCACACTAGGGTTGTCAGGTGAATTTACCTGGCCGGTGGGGGGCTCCTGGGCCACTTCCAGTAAAACCGGAAGTGCCCATTCTTTTTTTAAAAATTAATATTTGTAATGTTTTTTTAACAAGACAAAACAAACAAAACCGCAAATTGCAGAATACAAACATACACAGGTTTCCATCCCACAATCGTTCAGCTTATTTGGAGTTTCTTCTATTTCTTTGCACCTAACATTATTACATGAATTAATCTTATTATAATCAAGATTTAATACAGTTCACAATCCATTTGTAGAATTTTGACCGAACCTCTTTAAATATGTTATCTCTTCTTCCTTGCAGTAATATAGTTAATTTGTCCATTTCAGCTGTTTCCATTAATTTGTAGATCATATCTTCTTTAGATGGTATGTCTTCTTTTTTCCACATACTGGCGTATAGAATTCTGGCTGCTGTTACAATATGGGTAGTCATATAACAATCTAACTTTTTAAATTGTTATGGTATTACATTTTTTTTAAATGTTCTGGTTTAAAAGGTATGTTCACTCCTATTATTTGCTGTAGCATTCCATCTATCCCACCCCAATATTTTTTACTCTTATCACATGTCTACCAGCTGTGATAAAAAGATCCAACTTTTTGTTTACACTTCCAGCATAAATTAGACATGCTGGGGTAGTATCTAGCCAATCTATCAGGTGTTATGTACTATCTGTAAAACATCTTGTAAAGGTTTTCTTTGAAGGAAACAGCTTTAGTATATTTTATATTAATTTTCCAGACTCTAGACCATTGATCTAAATCAATGTTCTTTGCCAGACTCTAGACCATTGATCTAAATCAATGTTATATCCAAAGTTTTGTGCCCAAGAAATCATTGAGACCTTAACTACGTCATCTTGCATCTTAAAATCTAATACCATATATAATTTTTTTAGACGTTTTTCTTCGGTATTTAATAGTATTTTATCTAAATTTGTCTGTTTTTCATAAAAACCCATATACTTATCTTTAGCATATCTAGATTCTAATTGGATTCTTTCCCACCAAGTTAGTTTCAGTTCTTGTTTCTGCAGCATCTCTTGTGTTTTTAACTCATTCTTACTATCTAATAATACTTCGTATCTCCCCATTAAATTTCTTGAGTTTTGTTAAAAAAACCCACTTTCTGATCCATGACAAATAATATAATATAATATAATATAATATAATAAATGCCCCCCAAAGTCCCCCACCAGTGATGAAGAAGGACCTGGCAATCCTAAAGCTGTCATTCCAGTCTTAGAACACTCATACTGCTTCCAAGGACCGTCATTCCACTCTGCAGACTGTCACTCCAGTCCAAGAACACTCATGCTACTCCC